AAAAAAAAAAAAAAAAATTAGCCGGGTGCCGTGGCACACTGCCTGTAGTCCCAGCTACTTGGGAGGATGAGGCAAGGGAATCGCTTGAACCTGGGAGGCAGAGGTTGCAGTGAGCCAAGATCGCACCACTGCACTCCAGCCTGGCAGCAGAGTGAGACTCCATCAAAAAAAAACAAAAAAACAAAAACAAAAAAAAGTGTGTAGCACCTACCCCCTCTCTCTCTTGTTCCTGCTCCACCATGTAAGATAATTAGCTCCCTGTATGCCTTTCACCATGATTGCAAGTTTCCTGAGGCCTCCCCAGAAGCTGAGCAGATGCCTCCATGCTTCCTGTACAGTCTGTAGAACCATGGGATAGTTAAAATACTTCCTTATAAATTACCCAGTCTCAAGTATTTCTTTATGGCAGTGCAAGAACAAACTAATACACATAGTTTAGATATGTTAAATCATGAATGGCAGAAATAACTCCATAAAACAAAATCATCAACAATCTGTCCCTAGTATACGGGCCTATCCTATTCCAAGAACCCAACTTCATAAAATAATCCCACTATCTTATCAGTCTGGCACATAAGAGTTTAGAAGATAGAGTCCAGGGCTCTGAAGTCATCAGATCCAGGTTCAATCAGAATGGTAACGTGTACAAATATATGCACATATATATACCATATAAAATTCTATTTCAGGGTTTTTAATTACTTACCACTTTGCCCAACTTTCTCTCATAGGCTTTATGCCGTAGTCCTAACCCCAACAATCCCACACCAACAAGCAGCCACAGAACTAAACAGAAAAAAGAAATGATTATTTTTAAATGAATAAAATAAAATAAAATAAATTTGCTGACACTGACCTTCAGTGCCTCATCTCCAGTGCTGTGGTGCCCTCCAAGAAGTTCTTCATGATGGGGGAACTGGAAGATGAATGGGCGGAAGAAGAGTCTTGGGTAGCTCACTGGCACTGAATGTGACCAAGGTGCCAGTTGACACCGAGGTGGTTTGCTCTTCCCTCCACTGCCTATATCAACTTCACCCAGCAGAAGCTAGATCCCAAGATTGCTGTGCCTGTGCAGAACTGCTACAAAGTGACTAATGGGGCCTTTACTGGGGAGATCAGCCCTGGCAAAATCAAAGACTGCAGAGCCAGATGGGTGGTCCTGGGGCACTCAGAGAGAAGGCATGTCTTTGGGGAGTCAGATGAACAGATTGGGCAGAAAGTGGCCCATGCTCTGGCAGAGTTACTTGGAGTAATCACCTGCATTGGGAAGAAGCTAGATGCAAGGGAAGCTGGCATCACCAAGAAGGTTGTTTTCGAGCAGACAAAGGTCATCGCAGATAAGGTGAAGGACTGGAGCAAGGTCATCCTGGCTTATGAGCCTGTGTGGGACATTGGTACTGGCAAAACTGCAACACCCCAAAAGGCCCAGGAAGTACAAAAGAAGCTCCAAGGATGTCTTAAATCCAACATCTCTGATGTGGTTCAGAGCACCCGTATCACTTATGGAGGCTCTGTGACCAGGGTAACTTGCAAGGAGCTGGCTAGCCAGCCTGACGTGGATGGCTTCCTCCTGGGTGGTGCTTCCCTCAAGCCTGAATTCGTGGATATCAATGCCAAACAATGAGCCCCACCCATTTTCCATACCCTTCCTGCCAAATCAGGGACTAAGCAGCCCAGAAGCCGAGTCATTGCCCCTCCCCTGCACAAGCTTCTGATGGTGTCATCTACCCTCTTTTGTGGCCTCATCCAAACTATACCTTCCTTTACTGTTTATATCTTCACCCTGTAATTGTTGGGACCAGGACAATCCCTTCTCCACTTACTATAATGGTTGGAACTAAATGTCACCAAGGTGGCTTCTCCTTAGCTGAGAGGTGGAAGGGGTGGAATTTGCTCCTGGGTCCCCTAGGCCCTAGTGAGGGCAGGAGATAAAACATCCTCTCCTTTCTTACACTGTGAGGCCAAGATCCTCCCCTCAGAAGCCAGGAATGCTGCCCTATTCCATGGTGCCCACTCCTGTGTGGGTTCTGTATGTGAACCACTCACATGGGAGGGAATAAACACATGGCACTAGGAAAAAATAAAAATACCTAAATCTGTTTTAAAATAACAAGGTTTATAAAATCATTGAATTTATTGGCCAATGATTTTGTGCAAAGGGAAAATGTGTAGTTTTGGGTTAAATTTCATGTGTGACATGTATACATCGACAACTCTTTAAACTCAGGTTTCAAGAATTTTCCCTAAAAATGTTCCAAGGACTATGAGCTTAAAGTAAAAATAAGTCATAAAACATACAAGAAAACAAGTTTCCATGAGCAGGAAACAAAGGAAAAAAACACTCTGCAGAATCAAGCCCACAAAGACAGATGTTGGAACTTTCTGAATCAGAATATAAAACAAGTATGCTTATTATATTTACAAAAATAAAGGAGGGTATTCAAAAGTATGACTAGGGAACATGAGACTAAAATAAACAATCAGAAAATTTTTAAAAGAAATCAAATAGAGTTCTAGAAATAAAAAGATAATTATAATAATTGAAATTAGAAATTCAAAGACAATTGAATTAGACAAGCTGAATAGAGAATTAGTTCAAGGGGCAGCCCAAAACATAGAGGTAAAAAATATGAAAGGCGGGGGCGCGCCCAAGATGGCCAAATAGTAACAGCTCCTGCCTCCAGCTCCCAGTGTGAGCAACACAGAAGACGGGTGATTTCTGCATTTTCAACTGAGGTACCAGGTTCATCTCACTGGGGCATGTCGGACAGTTGGCGCTGGTCCGCAGATGCAGCCCGACCAGTGAGAGCTGAAGCAGGGTGAGGCATCACCTCACCTGGGAAGTGCAAGGGGGAAGTGAATTCCTTTTCCTAGCCAAAGGAAATTGAGACACACAACACCTGGAAAATTGGGTAACTCCCACCCTAATACTGTGCTTTACCAAGGGTCTTAGCAAATGGCACACCAGGAGATTACATCCCACACCTGGCCCAGAGGGTCCCACCTCACAGAGCCTCCCTCATTGCTAGCACAGCAGTCTGAGATCTAACTGCAAGACGGCAGTGAGACTGGGGGAGGGGCGCCCACTATTGCTGAGGCTTAAGTAGGTAAACAAAGCCGCCAGGAAGCTCCAATTGGGTGGAGCACACCACAGCTCAAGGAGGCCAGCCCGCCTCTGTAGACTCCTCCTCTGGGGATAGGGCATAGCTAAACAAAAAGCAGCAGAAACCTTAGCAGAGGTAAATGCCCCTGTCTGACAGCTTTGAAGAAAGCAGTGGATCTCCCAGCACAGAGGTTGAGATCTGAGAACAGACAGACTGCCTGCTCAAGGGGGTCCCTGAACCCTGAGTAGCCTAACTGGGAGACATCCCCCACTAGGTGCAGATTGACACCTCACACCTCACACGGTGGGGTTCACCCCTGAGACGAAGCTTCCCGAGCAAAAATCAGACAGCAACACTCACTGTTCAGCAATATTCTATTTTCTGCAGCCTCCACTGCTGATACCCAGGCAAACAGGGTCTGGACTGGACCTCAAGCGAACTCCAACAGACATACAGCTGAGGGACCTGACTGTTAGAAGGAAAACTAACAAACAGAAAGGACACCCACACCAAAACCCCATCAGTATGTCACCATGATCAAAGACCAAAGGCAGATAAAACCACAAAGATGGGGAAAAAGCAGTGCAGAAAAGCTGGAAATTCAAAAAATCAAAGCACATCTCCCCCTCCAAAGGAACACAGCTCATCACCAGCAACGGAACAAAGCTGGATGGAGAATGACTTTGACGAGTTGAGAGAAGAAGGCTTCACTCAATCAAACTTCTCAGAGCTAAAGAAGGAATGATGTAACCAGATGTAACCAGAAACTAAAAACCTTGAAAAAGGAATGGATGAATGGATAACTAGAATAATCAATGCAAAGAAGACCTTAAAAGAACTGATAGAGGTGAAAACCATAACACGAGAACTACGTGACAAATGCACAAACTTCACTAACCAACTCGATCAACTGGAAGAAAGAGTATTGGTGGTTGAAGACCAAATGAATGAAATGAAGCCAGAGGAGAAGTGTAGAGAAAAAAGAGTAAAAAGAAATGAACAAATTCTCCAAGAAATATGGGATTATGTGAAAAGACCAAATCTACGTCTGATTGGTATGCCTGAAAGTGACAGGGAAAATGGAACCAAGTTGGAAAACACTCTGCAGGATATCATCCAGGAGAACTTCCCCAACCTAGTAAGGCAGGCCAACATTCAAATTCAAGAAATACAGAGAATGCCACAAAGATACTCCTTGAGAAGAGCAACTCCAAGACACATAATTGTCACATTCACCAAAGTTGAAATGAAGGAAAAAATGTTAAGGGCATCCAGAGAGAAAGGTCAGGTTACACACAAAGGGAAGCCCATCAGACTAACAGCAGACCTCATGGCAGAAACTCTCCAAGCCAGAAGAGAGTGTGGGCCTATATTCAACATTCTTAAAGGAAAGAATGTTCACCCCAGAATTTCATATCCAGCCAAACTAAGTTTCACAAGTGAAGGAGAAATAAAATGCTTTACAGACAAGCAAATGCTTAGAGATTTTGTCACCACCAGGCCTGTCCTACAAGAGATCCTGAAGGAAGTACTAAACATGGAAAGGAACAACAGGTACCAGCCATTGCAAACACATGTCGAAACGTAAAGTCCATTAAAGCTAGGAAGAAACTGCATCAACTAGTGAGCAAAATAACCAGCTAATATCATAACGACAGGATCAAGTTCACACATAACAATATTAACCTTAAATGTAAATGGACTAAATG